AACAAATTGTGTTGTATTTGAATTTGATCTGGAGTAGTAATTTCTACTATTTGGTCTATTGTAGTGATTTTGTGACGAATTTTGTGTATTTCTTCGTTCTGGCGATCTTCCTCTATAAGTTGAGTTATGTGGTGATTGATTTCTCGTGTAGTTGGTATTGCTCGGTAGTGGTTTTCCTGAACTGTTGTTGCTGTATACATTTTTGTTTGGTAGATTTTGATCTTTCTTCATGTATTGATAGAATGATTTATTTGGTTCTTTATATTTTTGAGGTTTATTTTGATTGTCTTGCTGTTTTTGTCTACATTCAGAAATACTATGTCCGTATCGTCGGCAATAATTACACCATTTTTTGAAAGATGGTTTGCCTTTAAAGTTTGGGTGTTTTTCGTAAATATTGAGTATTTCAGTGATTTTTTCAACGAGGTCTGTATCTGATTCCTGTATATTGTTGATACTTGTGGTATTTGTTTCGATTCGGTTAACATATTGTAATTTCAGATTTTCTGTTTCTTCGAGTTTCATTGTGATTTCTGCTTGTTCTAGTTTGTCTACTAGTTTTCGAAAATCTAAATCGGGTTCTCGAATTGAAGAAGGATGGGATGCTCTCTTTTTTATTGCTATTTTTCTTAATTGCGGTGTTAAGGTCATCATTAGGATTTCTGTCATCTTTGTGTTTTTATAGTCATGTGTATTTAATGAATATGCTTTTGTGTAAACCTTTTCCAATTTGATTTTATTTCTAGAGGCAATACTGCAAACCATTTTTGGGCTGCGCCGTCTAAAGTTGTTTGTATCAACGCTGTGCGTCGATGTATCCAGTTTTGATGTAGTGGCGTATTAATTGGTTAAGGTCCTATATTTAAAATCAAATTTGCTGTTACTGCATTTAAATAGTCTTCTACAGAATATTCAGGGTCTGTTCCTGTGAATACCATTAAAGGATTATTTGATGTTATTGATGATCCACCCATAAGGTATGGATTCATTGTCATTTGTAATGATTCTGCTGCATTTGGCATTTGAGAAAAATTTGAAAGTTGATTTCTTGTTATTTCGTGTTGTTGAAGATAATATGGGAGTGGTATTTCATTTTGCATTTGCGTCGGTTGATACGAGTGTGTGATCATTGGGTTTTGTTGCTGAATTGGTTGAAAATATTGTGTATTAATTGGGTTTTGTTGCTGAATTGGTTGTTGATTTTGTGTATCTATCGGTTGTGGAGAAAAAGTTCTATGATTTGTATGTGGTTTCTGTACTCCTTGTCCACGATATTCTTGATTATATGGTGCAAATATATCTGGTTGTAAAAAATCATCATCTGAGGATAAGTAATCCATTTGATAAGATGTTTGTTTTTTATTTTTATTTTGTTGAAAAAATGGATAGTTTTCACTACGATCCTGTGAAGGATGTAAATTTGTTTGAAAATTTACTGAATTAGTTTGTGCCATTGGGTTATCCCAATTTCGAGATCTTGTGTAATTATTAAAATTTTTTCGTGGGGGATAATTTGTTTTTGGTGGATGTGTGTAATTATAATTATGTTCTGCAAAATTGTTTCTAGTGAACGTTTTACGTGTTTTTGACGGTATTGTCATGGGTCTGTATGTTTGATAATCCTTGTGTGAATATTTTGGGGCAACCGAAGGTTTAACGGTTGATTGTAAGGTTACCTGTGTTTGTGAAGGGTTTGTATTTCTTGGTGTTGTTAAATTTGGACGTATCGGTGAAATACTTTGTTGTGTAGTTGTTGTGTGTACGATTTCTTCATTTATGAAGTGTGATGGTGTCTGGATACCTTGTTGGGTGAGATTTCTAGTTCCATTGAGGTTTTCATTGTGTATGACTGTGGAGTTTAAACTATTATTTTGCATATCAGGTAAAAATGTATTATAGTTTAATGGTGTTGCATCAATGGTTAATGGTATTACTCTTACATAATCTCTTACATAAGATATCGTACTTATTGCTTGACTTGAGATTGATTGTGGGAAGTTTATGAATGCGGGATGAGACCATTCGGGGTCCCAAACATAGTCTGACTGTTCTGTGATGGCAGTATCATCGTTTGAGTTTTGAGGTCTAAAATTTTTTCTTGCTTGTGAAATTAAATCTAGATTATGTGTGAAATAATCTATTATAAACCATGCCAAGATTTTTTGTAAGTCATGTTTTGTATGTTGTGAAACATCATCTTTAGTGAAATTTTCTTTAATTATATTTAGAAAACTAGAGAGTAGTGTGATTTCATGTCGTACTCTTATATGTTTAGATGTTTCTGTCGGTGAGACATTTGAGATTGGGATTTCGTTTTCTAATATCGAGATATAACTATATATTATTGCAAAAACTTCATTGGTGAATATGGAGTTTGCTCTTTGTGAGTTATGATATTGTATGCTTTTTATATATTCTGAGAATACTTTTGAGAATTCTAAATCAAGGTCGTCTGTTTGAATTACATATTTGCTGTGATTCTGGTTTGGTGAGCTGAATTCTATGGAGTAGATTCCGTATTGTTGTGTTAAGTTGCATATATCTTTCAAATAGTGATCGATAATTTGTCTTTTGATTTTTACATCTGGGAACTCTGTTTTACATGGACTGATTCCGGGTTCAAACAAATTTAAGAGTAAATTTTTGCAAAATATATGCTGTCCTCTATCAGTGGTTGCATCTACGATAAAGGGGAAGATATCATCATCATCTGTACTTTCTTCACCTGGGGTGTGTGTTGAGCTCATTTTTTCGTTTGATGACTGTTAATATGTAACTATCGATGTGTCTAATTGGTTGATTCCAATTGTATAAGTGTACTGGTTTGTGTTTATATTGTTTTTTTATTCTTCTTTTTCCTCTTTTTGATGAATTTGAAGTTGTTTCTGAGTCGGAAAAATATAATTGATCGTGAATGGGGCAATTTTTATCTATAGATTCTTTTAATTTATAAAGTTCGTCTAAACTGCTGGTTTCTGATTCTGAAAATGCGTTTCGGTTTTTTGAAAATCTTTTTCGTGTTATTTGTCTTTGTTTGGTTATTATTTTTCTTTTTAGTGTTTGTCGTTTTGTTCTAATGTATCCAACTGTTTGTGTATGAGGTGTGATTACAAGATCGTATTTTTTGTTATCTATTTCACAATTGTGTAAAACGATTGTTTGTTTATTTCCTAGGTTTTTAAATGACATAAGGTTTAGGATGACGGATGCAAAAGGTTGTTAAATTTTTTCTATTTTCTTAGACTGTTAGTCCTTACGATTTTTTGGTTAGCCTAACCTGGGTCTATTTGTTCAGGGTTGGGGAGAAAAGTATATCGATTCACAAGAATGATTTTATACTTTCTCGTGGCTAGTATAAGCTAAGGTGTTAACTTACTTAATCTTACTTAAGGGTAGTGATTGTGTTCAGGGTTGGAGAATAGTAAATCGATCCACAAGGTTCAGGTATAATTAGAACGCGATTAGTTCATTAGATACTATTTTAAACTTACTAAGTCTAAGATTTATCCTGGGTCTGGTAAGAGGGGGGATCAAGTGAAGGATGAATAACCGAAGTTCTTCACTGTTGATCCTAATTTGAATGATTAGTTTTATTCAAAAATTTCTGTTAGTCCTGGGTTTTTAGAAAGGGTTGGATAGTGAATCGACGTTTGAGGTCGTTAGACACTAGCTAAGTGGGTGGGGGAGAACAAAATTGTTCTTTTTGATCCAAGGATAGGCCTTGATGATCAAGTTTTAAATTTAATTAAATAGAAAATGATTTAAGATCCAAGGATGAGCCTTGATGATCTGATTTTAAATTTAAGTGAATTTAAGTTTAAAATGATTTAAATTTGTGTAGAGAAAAGATTTAGTGTTTTTATGATATTAGTGAGCTTATGAATGCTGTTATGTTTAGGTGATGAAGCTGGAACAACAGGATGATTTATGATTACTAACCATTTATTGTCATGCTACTAATTTTTATTTTGATTTTTCAATAAATATTTTTCAAACATGTTTTGTATATTACTGCAGAATTTAGGAAAACAAGCTGAGATCTCTTTATCAATCGTTATTGTATATTAATAATTTTGTTTAGCGCCTGAAATGATTTTGAAGATTGGCTTCAAGATTTTATGTTTGCAAATGAAAATCTAAATTCATTGCTAGTAGTATTCTAAATACAAAAGTTTGTGTTGGCTTTTGCCGAACTATCATATAACTATATGGTAAGTTTCTACTTTGTCGTATGTCGTCTCTGGTTCGAGGTCTTCTTGCAATTCCGGGTAGTTCTCTTATCGTTCGGAATATTGGCTTTGATCTATTGAGTCGTAGATACATTTCGATTAAATTATCGTCGTGTAACATTTTAAAAATGTTTTGTCTAAATTCTAATCTATTTTTGGTTAATTCTAAGCTATTAAGGTCTTGTTCGAGACTTATGGTCGCACCAGATGAGTTAGGACCGAAGTGTATAACTCATAGAGTAATTTCGGATAGGGTACACCGTCTGCTCGTCACGCTATCTTATTTTCGGCCGGATAGATTCGTGCAACTTCTTAGTCTAATACCGATCCTAATCTTACTCTTATACTATCTAGTCTCAGGTTGTTTAACTAGTCTCTGCTAGGCTCAATAGATCTAGGGTATACTGGTTTATTGCGGCTGCTGAAGTCTTCTTGGAGAGTCAACTAATTTCTAAGTTAAATTCAAATCTCTCTGGTGCTGAAATTACAAGTAATTTCAGCACTTACAAATAAGTGGGTTGTTAGTTAGATGGATCATGATTGGTTAATATTAAATACTTTACAGTGGTAAAATATCTAATTTATCCAATCATAAAATGTAGTTTAGATCAAGTTCCACAGCCGAAAACAGATTTGTCGCGGAATTTGGTACTATGACAAGAGCAATTTTTGGTACTATGAAACTGTATGATAAGCATTTGTTCCATATTGAGAGGTATCAAAGTCTGTTGAAAAAAACGTACTCATTGAATTTAAAACAAGTTGTTTTAGGTTCAGACTTTCTGCTTGTGAACACAGATTGTTGTCAGATTGTGTTTAACAAGTACCTCAATCGGAAGATTGAAGAGTATGGTTTGGAACTGGAGAACGATGACCCCAAGATACATTTGTGTGACCTCAAAGGGGTTGTGTTTGACCTCAAAGAACATCAAGGTTATTTCTATATTTTTTGAATGTCTTATCAGACCAATGCTGCTAAAAACCAATACGTTATGATCAAGCTATTCTAGATATGTCACCCTAGTACACCAAATTTGATGCATTTCCTGAAAATTAATTTTCGAGAAAGAAATTAAAATAATAAAAATCATAATAATTACCTTTTATATGCATTACGCTTTTATGATATGGAAGTATAAAACCAAGGTTAGAAATAATTTGCATGAAAATTTGAAAACTTTTTCGAACTCCGCAAATTTTTGTCTTTTCTAAGATATTTTCTGTATGGTTACTTCAGAAAGAACCAACTTTTTTTTGCTTGTTCCAAAAAAATCGTAATTGTTGGAGATATTGCTCCTTTCAAAAAAAAAACGTCGTTGGAAATATTTCCTAAATAGATGAAGCATTCATAGTAAAAATTAGTCACTCAAATTAGTCGTTTTGTTTTAATCGTTTTGTTTTAATAACAATTTGACATCACTCGTTTTAAATGAAGTTAACTGAAGATATTGAATCAGTTTTTTCCGAAATAAAGCGGGATGTTTCATCGCAAACAGACCATTTTATAATTCTATTTTAGAACTGTGTCAGAAGAATGTTGACATTACTACATCTAACTGCCGAGACTTGTACGTGTATGAAATGAAAACAGGGAACCGAGATAGGTTAGTACAAAACATCTGATATTAAGTATACCCTGATTTTAAGGAACCCGAAATTATTAATTACAGTCTTCAACAACCCGTCAATGCTCTACCTATAGTAATGATCACCTCCTTTCGAGTGAAAGCGCTATGTTAAAGCGCGTAACAAAAATGCTTGTCTTAGACAATATTGTAATTATAGTTCAATTTTCTAGGGATGTTGAAAGTTGAGAGAATTCAAGTTATTCATCGAAAATGAATAGAGGCTATATAATTAGAAAAAAAACAATAATTAAAAGTTGTATAATTCTCTTCTGTTTTTTCCCGTCTTTGAACTGAATCAGTTTTTAAACCTCATGAAAGTATGTGAACTAAAGTGTGAGATATGATTTAGACCCATCCAAGACGTGAAAATCTACACTCCGTTTGACTTCGACGTCAAATCGTACAACGAATTGCACAAAACACTTCTTCAAACTCTCAACAAAATGTATGGACCCAAAACGGGCTCATCCTCTCGATCTGCAGGCTACAAAAAGTCCACTGCTGGTTTGAGCGCGAGCGGGAAACATAAAAGATCGAATGCGAACAATTTAACCGTCCAAGACTGACAACAACAATGTTACATTTTGAATGAAAAAACGCATTGTTTTCAAATTTCAAAATAATTTTTCCAAAAAACTGGAAATATGCAATAAATCATCACGAACGCCAATCCGGTATAATCTTCCGTGGACGGTTTTCCGGCAAATCTATAGAATTTTTATCTCCGCCTTCAACCCCATTTTTCAATGTATCTGTGGCGTGATTTTAAGTACACGTCCTGTAAGGGGCAGGTTAAAGTTTAGTTTGCAACATAGTATTATTGGCTGTAACATGGCATAATGATTTAAAAGCCAGTTCAGTTAATTTATACTCATGCCGTTGTATTTTGAATTTGAGATAGTTGGTTTTTTGTCTGTGGTTGTATCTCATTCAAGTAGCTATACAATGAAAAATCTTATCATTTAAAAAAATCGATTTAATAAAAATATACTTAATAGCTCAAGATTCTTTCAGAATTTATTTCTGCGGATCAAAAACAACCAAAAAAATTTTCAGTGAAGTGGCGAGTGCTATTGTCTATCAATCAGGACATTAGTGGTTTGGGACCCACTTGATCCGCAGATTAATAGACATGATGGTTGCCCTTTTCAATTAGTTCAATTCCATCCTTTTACTGAAAGGATGTACATGGCTACCCTTTTGCTTAAGCGGACAATGAAAATTGTTTGATGATGGTTGTTTCCCACATCGGAGTTTTCTGGATAAAAAAATGAATATAATGGGAAAATGTTGTCCAAAGTATTGTTATTATTCTTGATAAATGCGGCCACGAAATCGATTATATTTCCGTTATAATCGGTTGTTTCCGGTAAAATTATATCAAATAATGGTTTATAATCTCTATAACTTTTGCAAAAGCATTTGCAAAACTTTCAAGCTACTTCTGCTATACTCACGGCCTACTCGAATTCTAAACTTACTCAATTTTGATTCTGTAACGCCCGTATAACCCCCCTACCAATCATTCTCCCCCTCGTTTTCTACTTACAGGTTCACAATTTCCCCTTTTATTCTTTTTCCATATTTACGATGAGAGATAAATTGGATTCGGGAGAGAAAATAATTACCAGCAAAAAAACTCGAAATTAACAAGTTATGAGAAAAACTGCGAAACAAAAATTGAAAAAACGATAAATTTTGCTGGCCAAATCAAAGTTTTCATTCCTGTAGCGTGTATCAAGACAAAAGAAACTGTTAGGTTTTGAATATTTGCACTGTGTTTGAAATTTTGAGGAAAATTTTGTAAAAAATGGATCATAATCCATTATAATTTAATATATTCCATTTTTTAATTCAAAAAAAATATCAAATCATAATCCAATTTATTCGATTTTAGTCGGCTGCTTATGAGTTTTATAGAGACTGACGTTGAAAATCCAATATAATCGATAAGTTTTCATGAGACTTCAGTAAGGGTTATATTCCGATTTCATTCATGATACAGATAATTTATGCTTTGGGCTTTTTCCTGCGAAGTTCCAAGATTTTGGTCAAAAATTTTTGACGGATCTTTCTTACAACCTTAGGAGTATTGCTAACTTGAAATCAAAACGAAAAACTTCCTCTACATTGGACAGTTTTGTGGGGGTTTGAAATTTATCACACGAGCCTAATTTTTTTGACTAAATACTTTTCTGAATTGAATGACAGGAAGCTAATTGAACTAATCAAAGCAACACTAAATGGAAAATTGATCATCTTGATTATAACTCCGTGGGAACTGTATTGGAGACTGTTAAGAAAAATAGACATTTTACTTATTGTGTACCATATAACTAATGAGTACAACTAAAGGCAACGTTAATGGAATTTAGGGACATTTTTATTTCAAGAAGTTAAACGAGGAATTCCTAGAGCAATCATGTATAGAGCCGTTTAGCACAGTAGGTGCGGAGCAGTTTGCGATATTGAGGGAAAGAACTGAGCTGATGCATAAATGAGTGATGGGAAATATACAGAGTCGGAGTAAATTTAATCCGGGGCGTCAAAATACCACAATCGGCCAAGAGACAGGCTACATAAAAAGAGAGAATAATAAAGCTATTCGTAAACACCATCTTATTAAGCATTTTTCATTGCTTCTTACCTCTTTTAGTATCGATAATCCGTGCTCTTTTTTTTAAAAAATGCCCTTGTCTTTTATGTGAATTTCGCTGTTTTTTATAATTCCTTTCATGTGTAATCACTTGGTTGTTTTTATACCAATAATGGTAACTGAAGTCTTTTAGTAGTAGTTGGAGTATGTGGTACTGTGTAGTACTGTTGCCACAGTAACCTTGGAGAATAAGTGGTATTAATATTCTGTTATGTTTTGTTATTATTATTCAAGGCCATTCATGCAGGCCGAACGCAACAGTCATTTGGATTTTTGCTATCTGAAAAGACATATGAAAAGATAAACATGATCTCTAACCAAAAACCAAGTTTCACAAAGAGTTAAATCATAATTTATTACTCTCCTGTTTTATTGCTAACTAACGCCCATAGCATAGGAATATCACATGGCGCAGCCAGCAGGATTTATGTCCCAAGACAACAGAACGGATATGGGAATTCCTGTATTTTGGACAACCGCGAATTCCGACCCTCCGTGGAATTTCAAGATATGGCTAGATCAATTTTTACTGGCAGTTACAGTAAAGGAGAGCGTGAATCCGGAACTACTGTTAGAAGAACAAAAGGAATTTTGTTGGAACCGTTACCGAGGCCGGAGACTCCACGAGAAAATGAGAATGCACAGGCGATTGCAGAGAGAGAGGCCAGAAACCAACTCGCATGGGACAAAATTTTTCTGGAAAACGATGAAAGAAGAGCTAGAGGACCAAAGGTTGGACACAACGTATATTATAATGAAGTACAAAAAAGGGTAGCCTCTAGATTATTCCTAGCGTTGGGAACAGAAGAGAAAAAGAAATTTGTACAAAAAAATCCGCATGTGGAAGTTTCAAAGTTAGAATTTCGAGAGATGGTTGCTTTGGCAAAGATTGCATTTGACAAAACACAAAGTGTTACGTAGGAGCGTTATAAACTGTTTAATCGAGCTCAAGAAACAGGCCAAACACTAGAGGCCTTTCATGCAGCATTAACTGCCCAAGCAGCCAAAGCGGAGTTAGGAACACATGAAGATGAACTAGTGCGCAATTTATTCATATCGAAAATGAAAAATGTGGTATTGCAGGACACATTAACATTTGATACATTCTCAACAGAGGAAGTATTGAAGGGGGCATTGAAGTTTGAACAGAGTAAACAGACAACTCAGGAATTTCAAAAAAACGAACTCATCGACTGCAAATGCAGGTCAAATTCACGTAACAATGAAAATAAAGCAAGAACCAATCATGAATATTGGTAATAAGAATGACAGTGGCAGGAAACAATCAAGCAATACGTACAAAAAGAAATCATACTCGGATAAAAGAGAGAATAGAAATCCTATAGATTCGAAAACATGTACTCGATGTGGTCGATTATTTGGAGAAATGGCCCGCCATGGGCAAAAAATGTAAAAATTGTTCTAAAACAAATCATTTTGCAAAAAAGTGTAAGTCGCAACAAGTAAATGAGATTGCGAAAAATCATCTAGCTCAGATGAAGAGTGTAATTTGATTCAGTCATTTGACTCGTGCAATGAGTTTGAAATAATGGCTATCGAATCTGAGTTGTCGTCGTTGGAACAGATAGACGAATACATAAAACAGCAAGCGAATAGAAAACAAGAAACCAGGGACAGCGGTAAGGACATACAGAAGGTCGATATTTGCAGAAATACCCGACAAATAAGTTCATTGAAAGCTTTGGTGAGAATAGATCATCAAATCATAAATATAACCATTGATACCGGAAGTCCAGTATCGTTTCTTAATTGGGCAACCGCAAAGCAAATCTTAGAGACTTCGAAAAATACGAAGTTCACTCCACGGGAAAATCTAAATTTGACTGCCCAATTTGTGGACTACAATAAACAGCCAATTAATGTACTGGGCGCATTCACCACAACCATCTGTTCGGCAGGGTGGAAAGTAGTGGGAGCATCGTTCTTGATCACAGAAAGACGCATGAGCTGTATATTGGGGCTGGATCTACAGAGCAAAGTGGGGATTCACACAACACAGAAGTTGGCGCCCAAAGACAAGACGAGGTTTGATGTACTACTGTGCGAACAATCAGAAGGTTTAAAAAAAAATTTATAGTAAATTTAAAGACCTTTTGATCGTCAGGGGTGTTCGAAGAATCATGTTGTCAGTACAAAGTTCAAGTATCCACTTTGTCCCTTACAAGAAAAAGGGAGACAAATTCCAATACACATACAGGAGAAGGTGTTTGAGGAAATGAAAAAACTGTTAAAAGAAGGGCATATAAAACGTCTGGACAAATGTACTAGTGATTGTTTTATAGCGCTTTTTGTAATAACAGTGAAAAAAGATGATTCCATAAAATTGGCCCATAAGATGCAAAACCCATAAACAGACAGTTATTCAATAATAAATATCAAATGCCTAATGTTGATGAATTACTTGATGGGGTCAGCCAAATAATTACAGCAAATACAAACGGCACGCTTTATTTCTCAGTACTAGATTTGAAGTACGCGTACAGTCAACTGAAACTGGTTGCAGAGACAGCTAAACAATGTAATTTTAACATCATAGGAGGACAAGCTACCGGAACATACAGATTTTTGACCGGATTCTGTGGCCTGGCAGACATGCCGGCGGAGTTCCAAAAGGCTATGGATAGAACGTTAAATCATGCCGAAAATACATTCTGTTTCCTGGATGACATACTTATTGTGTCTAAGGGAAGTGAAGAAGAACATGAAAAATTGATTATGAACGTACTGGAAAAGTTAGACAAAGAAAACTTGGCATTAAAGTTATCGAAATGTGAATTCTTTCAGAATGAGGTAAATTGGCTGGGACATAAGTTATCGCTGGATGGTATTTCAGCAAAAATAACAAAAACGGAAGCGATATTGAAGCTTAGTCCGCTAACTTCTTTGAAACAACTCAGGTCATTTCTGGGTAGCATAAATCATTTGGCCAAACTCATACCCAACGCGGCTAATTTAACTGATAAGCTGAGACCTCTCTTGCGAGAAGAAAATGAGAAGAAAAAACTCAAAAGCGTGAAAATTCAGGTTAAAAAATTCGAATGGGAGGAAAAACTTTCGGAGAAATTCGAATCGATAAAAGCAGCGGTTGCGAACATAACCAACATTCACTATTACGATCCTAAATTGGCTACTAGGGTAAAATGTGACGCCAGCCACAGTGGGCTAGGTGCATTGTTGGAACAACAAAAGGTGGAAGGGGAGTAGATACCGATCGCATTCGCGTCGAGATATTTAAA